AAGATTAGAGAAGAAGAAGAAGATAAACCGTCACTTTTTGTTGCTAAAGATAATATTTGATTAGTAAATTGATATACGTTTCAGTATCGTGCGATTAATAAATATTGCTATAAGAAGTGTTTTCGATATACAGGCTGATTCAAATTCGAGGGCCACCATGGGGATCTCGGAAACTGTAAGAGATAAGTAGGTAGTTTAAATTTGGCAAAGTTGCGTATTTTGATGCTTAACAAAATGCCGTTTTGAAATTGAAAAAATTCCGACTACTTTTGGAGACATCTGGAAAAAATCGAAATTTTGAATAATCGTTATTTTTTCCCGAAGTTATTTAACCAACGGCATTTTGTTAAGCATCAAAATACGCAACTTTGCCAAATTAAAACTACCCACCTATCTTTTACAGTTTCCGAGATACCCATGGCGGCCCTCAAATTTGAAACAGCCTGTAGGTATACCCACTTTCATCAGAAGAAATTCTCTATTAAAAATCCAAAAATGCTAATTGGCTGCGTTGGCAAAAATAAAGGTTCTGTGTCACTTCACCATCAAATCGAAAGTTTTGTTGTGAAAGTAGCGCGCTAACTGGACAGGGTGGCACATTGAGTGAGTATTTTCAGAAATACTTCTGCCCTACAATTTTTTTTGGATTTGACACGTCTCGTTGGTTTGGGTGATAAAATAAGATATCCGACCGCATTAGAGTTGTTTTTAGTCCTTATGATGATTTAGAGGCCACTAATATTACATAACATTCATCTTGTCAAATGACATGCTCACAACTCCATAGTGGAAATTAAAAGATGAAACTTAAACTAAAATATGCTCACATTCTTTGGGAAGGAAGACCTTTGCAACGAAGCGTTATTTGCCCTGTTATGCAATGGCATGCGCCATTACGCATATGATCCATTGAATATATAATGTTTATAAACACGCAAAGTAAATATTTCACTATTAATATACACGGGTTTTGATAGTGGCACACGTAAACAAGAAACATGCAATGAATCCGTTACCCTTAAAACTTAATGGTAATTGAAGACTTTGAAGAACTGCGCAGATCGATTTCATTCAACAAATTTTCATTTTTATATCAAAATTTTGACTAAATTAGATATGTACAAATTGAGAAAAATTAAAATTTGTCAGATCAGACATTGAAATTTGGATGAAAATTGCAAAATTCAGACAATGGACGAATGTTAACAACCTGTGACCATTATAATACGAAAAGATGGAAAATTTTTCTTTAAAATAATGTCGCAAACGGTCTAAGTTGAATAATAATAAAAAACATAAAAATAAAAGCCAAAAATTCCACCAAAATAGACTGAATTCTCGATCGACAATTTTGAGCCGATCAAAATAGGCATTTATTAACAAAATATTGATTTTACACGTGATTTAAGTTACATATAATGTGTGTTCGATGATGATTTTGGTTTTGATTTTAAAATTTTTGTCGGATATTGAATTTTAAAAACAGTTGATGTTCTGAGGTCAAAGCTTCGTTTTTTCGTTAGGGATTTCGATTTTTAATTTCTTTATCGAATTTGAATTTTGTCAGTGCGGGACTATACAAGCTACACAAATATTTCGAATTTTCGTTGGTTTTCAATTTTTAAATCGAGCATTTAATTTTCAACCCGTAGAATGATAAGTTTGGTGATCTAGATTTCTGTGTGCGATAAAAAATTTCTCCTGACACCTTATTTCATAGGTAATAACGTGTGTCTCAGTAAGGGCGTATCATTTTTTCTGTATATTTCTGTATTTGAGAGCGATCGCGTACGATACTTCCGATTATACATTCGTTTCACAAAGGAATGACGTGTAATCATTGTAAAAACACCCAAGCAATGCAGCCAGCAGACTATGCACAATGCCTTACAATTAGTGCGATGGGTGAAAGGGCGAATTGAATTAGATGGTGATTTTTTCGAGAAGAAATAATGGGTTGTTAAATCGGGAGAATCGTGATATTTGAGATTTAGACAATCCGCACGTGATCCATGAGCAACAAATGTCGATTTTGAGGGAGGTTTTTGAAAATATATAGAAATGACAATGCCGAAACTGCTAACGGAAAACCAACTATTTGAAAAAGTATTTGAAAATGTTATTAAAAGAACAAAGATTTGTGTTCAGAGCCATGGTCATTTGCAGGACAATGCCGATACTACTAACGGAACCAACTCTTTGAAAAAGTAATTGAAAATGTTATGAAAAGAACAAAGATTTGTGTTCAAGCCATGGTCATTTGCAGGATAGGAACATGTCCAATTTCTCGTCCAATTTATAAGGCAGCAAATGTGTTTCTTCGTAATCTGTCTTTTTTGCTTCGCAAATGGCAGTGTTTCAAAATTCTAAAGTTGTCCTATTACTCCCTATAGACAATGGTCTCTTTTAGGAACGCTATTCCAATATTTTCTTTTGATATTTTTTATTTTTTAGTATATCCAAGATGAAAATTCTTTCTTTTGGGTTTTCTTAAAGGGAACGTTTTTTTGAAAAGATTAAGCCTTCCCACAATCTATACCTAATATACTAACCTCATTACCTCTACCCTACCATTAATATAATACTTCAAACAAACCCAATTTTTGTAATAGAAGCTACAGGGTACTTCGTATTTCTCGATGATGATCTACACTTGATAGACTCGATAAAATGGCGATTTTAAGTTAATAAACGTTTTCGATTATTATCAGAATGGTGAACTACAACATCGCGGTCCTACGGTTTGCATTGGTCACACTTTTGGGGGAGAAATACGTAGAACAAATGGATTTAGATATTGAAACTGGATTGAATCCTTTTTTACTTTATGCGTATATTAGTAGAAAGGTTACAATAGATTCAAATGGATTCACGTAGAACAGTCGCCAACGGTTGTACAAATGAAGTCAATTTATGTAATCAAACAAAATCGGTAGTCACTGCAAACGCGTAATTTTTGGTCCTTGATCATCAAACTCATATGTATACGTTTGATCTTTCTGCCAACTAAATTGGATTTCGGAGTAACCATATGGCGGTCAATGTTAAATTTTTCGTTCTGTCTGTTGATTTCAAACTTCCATCCCTGTTCAAAGTCACCCCCGTCTGCTAACAAGTAACCAAAGCAGAAAACTTCTTAACGTCCGCATTCCGTTGACCCTGAACACAAAATATTCAGGCGCATTTATACGGAGTGTTCTGTAGTTAAATCCTGAAATGCATTTGGGATCTGATTTCGATGGTTTCGTGAGCGAATAAAATTAAAAATCTAATGCGGGTTAATTAATTTTGGAGATTGCCTTTTATATAATGCAGTTTGCCAATTATTTGCATTGATAAAGTATCACGTGTGGCAATCTGAATTTCTGCCGTAAATTACTTAACTAATATAATTAGTGTTACAAGAATCGTTGAACTACTTTCGATTTTTGAGAAATAATTTCATTGGCATTTTCGTGCTAGCCCACTGTGGTTAATCTGAAAGAAACTGAGAACGCTTAAATATTTGTTAGACAAATGTAAATATTTTCATAAGTTACCGGTAAAGCACTGGTTTAAATAATTACTATCGGTTCCGTTCAGTAGACAAAATAATTACAACCAGACCGTTCTCTACTTTTTTCAATGCCATGACTTTTAAAACCTAGACGAATGTTACATCGCAAGAAGCATTGAAACCTATGGACAATTGGGTGTTGACCTTAAATTATTATTTGGCAAAACTAATCGCCGACCCCGAACGTGATTGATTCTGTGGAATTTCCGCTACTGACAAGAAACGCGCCTCGGTTGTTTTTTCTTGTAGGATGCTTGGTTCCACCTATGCAAATGAGAAATATTTCGATCAAGGACACCATTATCTAACGATTTCAAAAATGTCATGCAAAGTAAAGAACAAGGATCATTTAGTACAACTGGGAAGCAGTAGTTTCGAACCTTAATAAATGGTTGATGAACGCGTCTCCGCCTTTGCATAAATTTCCGAGTGAAGTATGATGGGTTACTAGAAAAAGTCAGGTTTTACGACACAATTTTTATTCTCTTGTAACAGTCGAGAAATTGGAAAAATTCACTGTATTTATCAATAATTCGACGTTTCGAAATTGTATGCATATATGTTTGGGCACAGATTATTGCCAAAATTCACCACGCAATTTTTAACATTTGCTAGCATGTTGCTATGACCCAAAAAATGGAATGTAATTTTTACAACATTTACCCCGAGGCTATTCTTTCATTAACCCCAAATTCAAAGATACATCAAGTTGTAACCGGTACAGTGTAACGAGATTATTTAAAGTATAAATCACTTTCGCAACTTCAAAGACTTAATGCATAAACAGGTGCCCTAATATTTATTTTTCATACGATTATTTGGCAACTACCCATGTTTGTTTTTTGTTAAATCATAGGTAATTTAAATGATCGCGCCGGGCTATACCCATTTGCATTTATAATAAAACATATTAAGAAATGCATTACATAAATTAACACCGAAATTGCTAGTGTTTGTAGTGAAATAAAACGGACATGGTCAATCAATCCGCGGGTATTTCATAATTTCATTATAAAGTGGAAGTACGGAAAGGAATCCCAAATTGCAATTAAGGTGCACTTTCAATTTCGGCTGATGCACTTTTGTGTGACATAGTAGTGCGTAACTAACCTTTTCTCTAATAGTACTAGCTTAATTATGTAAATTCGATTATCTGTACTTATTGGATCATAAAATTCAAATTATTATAAAATTAGGTAAACGTACTTATTGGCAGGGGTCGTAATTCACATTTAATTGGATATGACGACCGTGAAAGTTAAATTCTACAAAAAATCCAAGTTTAAGTTCAATCATTATCGAATTATACTTTTTGGACATCCATTATGTAAGGATGCGCATATTTTGTTTTGTTCAGCTTTCGATTTCTTTTATTACCAACCTACATTTACACTAACCGCCTCTGGTGATTGAGAAAAAAAACTGGGTTAACGCCTAAACTCACCGTTTTATTCATTTTGACTGGATATCGTTATTGAAGGCAGCAGGAAAGAGTACTATATTTTAAACAATTATCACCTAATACACACAAACATAACTAAAAGTCACTTTCACAGGTTTCAGTCACTAAAGGTACGTATCGGTCACCAATAGTTGGTTGAATTGGTTCAGATCCCAATCAATAGTGAACCTTCGCAAAATTATGGTGCACCGCTACCAAAATCGTTTAAAATCCCCACCACGAGCGATTTACGTTAATTTAAGAAAAACTGTCTTATCCGAACTAAAGTGATACTATATATTAAATAAGAGGGGGGCAATATGAATTCTTATTTTGCTTGGCGGTATCGGGGATTTTTTCACACTATTATGGAAGGGGATCAGACGTGTATATGAGCCGGATACGCAATGTTTGATGTGTGCAAGGAAACTTTATTGCAAGTTCTCTTAATTATTATAATTTACACTACTTATAACGTGTTACAACGTATCATTAAAGTCTCCTATTTAAACTAGCATTGTCATCTGCTATGACAGCCTAACTCGTCCAAAATAGAGTCGATATTATTCCAGAGTTGTCCAGGAATTTGTGATTGAAGCCCTAAGTTTGTGGTTAATTGTTGTGACCCAAATGAAAGGGAATAGAGACAAGAACCTTTTGGAATGGCTATAATCGTTATATACATTATAACAATGGTAAAAACAGTCAAGAAAAGCGACTATTGTCACGTTTATTGTGTAACATTAACAATGTATGTACTACGCGCGGATAAAAAGTAAAAGTAACTTCCAAAAAGTGCGGTAAATTAATTTTTGTAATTCCTCAAAGTGGAATTAATTATATCCTAAAAGCGAGTGTTAATTATTTTTAAATAACACCCATTACTATTGCGTGACAATTACGTAGTTGCGCTATTTGGTCTAAGAATGTCGTACGCGATAATATTCCTTTACGATCCGTATTTTGAGATGCGCACTAAGTGGTCATTGGCCAATGGTATCTATTGCACAGTTTAAATTACGAGTAGGTACTACGATTTGCACTTCCATATAGCAATTAGGAAACCGCGAACAGTGTGGTTAATTGTAATATTTAAAGTTTAATTTCCTTGAACTTTTTGAGATTTACGCCGTTTTTGCCATCTTATAAATGAAAACTTGACGCGCCCCCTGAATACGTATTACCGAAAAGACCGCAACACAGTAATTTGTACATATTTGAAACTGATTTGTACGCTTTCACGTTTTGTGTGGAAAAATGAACAGAAATATGGAATTTTCAAATTATAGTCCGACGAAAATGGTCCCCGAACCCCTAGTTACCCCCAATTTAAAATTAGAATACGCACACCCCATCGAGTGGCACATCATTTTAAAGGTCATAAAATTCTCTGTTCAGAAATGCAAATAAAATCAAATTTAGATGGCCTGGTTATCAAATAAAAACTGATTAAGACTTGTCTCATCTTCCGTTGGACAATGTTCTGGGCCACTTCCTGAATTTTTTTAAATGTGCATCTGCAATTGTTGTTAATTTCCGTTGTCACAAACTTTGCAAAAATTCCTTGATTGACCGCGTTTCGTATTTCACATCTTCCTCCTTCACATTTCTCCTCTGCATGCCTACTTCTCACTTTCTTCATTCAAGCCTTTTTCATACCTTACTTACTTTCCGATTTTAGCCTCGAGTTATTAATCGAGACGATTATGCTTCTCCTAATGGCCCGGTCGCTATCTCGCTCTCTCGATGGTTTTAGGCCCATCGATTTAAAAGGACGAATTGCGATGAAATTTTGCAGGTAGATTCTTTATCAAACTTGTGAATCGAAGTTCGTGAATTGGCAATGTAGGTTAAGAAATAAGGAAGGTTCTTTTGACTTCTCCGTTCGTTGTGAACCGAATTGCATGAAATTCAAACTGGGCTTGATTTAGCGATATAATACGCAATGCCAAAAGCTGATCCTAATCGATTCTACATTGACATTGCCTTCTTAGCACATTTTCGCAAATTTATTTGTACAAAATTTAAACGCGAGGGAATATGATAGCGCCCGACAACATCTTACTGATGGTACAGTCCAGACTGGCTGATAGAATACTGATCTACTACACAAAAATGCGTTTAACGAGCCTTCGATGTCACAGGAGGATTTTGATGATGTGTGTCATCTCGGTCATTTATGAACCGAATTGTATTAAATTCAAACTGAGCATAGCTCGTACCATATCAAATGTAATGACACCGCTTTGGTACTTTTGATTATGTATCGTCAGGGCATAACTCGTCCATATTCTAGTGTTAGCATTATCAAGTGATATCTTTCTCCAAGAACAAGTCTCGCCAGGTCCGCGGCAGTCATTGAAACTAATGTTCTTCGGTTCTCAAGATGTCTGCAAAGAGGTCTGTAATGAGGGGGGTCGGCTTTCAGGCTTTTATCGCTTGTTGTCTTTACATCTCGTTCTCACCTCCTCACCTCTTAACAATTTTCAATTCCATTGTGAAATTAAACAGTGTTTTCTTGAAAGATTTGTAGATATTCGTGTTGTAGTGTGGTCACTATTCCAGCGGTTGTTACCTGGATAATATTCACACTAATTTTATAATATAATTAATTAACACTAATAACATTTGTTTAATAATTGATTGACATTTTCTGATCATCACTATCTAAGTGATGAATTTGATTGCACTTCACGTGTGGCGACTTCTGTTACTACTGAGTTAGAATATGTTTCAACAATTTTATCGGCCATGACGGCCAAATTGTCTAATGATTCAGAGCTAATTGTTAAAACTACTTGTACTTGTTGGGGAAGTCGCTGTAGCCACAGTTTCTTTAGCAACTCATTGGAGATACTGGTACCGAATAGCGTCTTCATTTCTCTGAGTAACTGAGTTGGTTTACAATCGCCCAAGTCAAGATCGCGTAACAGTTTTTGTAGCTTCGCATCTTCCGATTCCGTGAGGCGGGATATAAGTGCATTTCGAAGTGTATCAAATTTATGGTTTTCTGGTGGTGATGTGATAATGTCGCTTACCAGTTTTAGTGCTTTTTGACTTAATGCAGCTACGATTGTAAAGTATTTTGTGATATCTGCAGTTATGCGCGATAGCTCGAACTGGGCTTCTACCACTTTGAACCACAAGGCTGGATCTTTCTCCCAAAATACGGGTGGTTTGACTGTGATTTTCTCGATAGCTGTGCTCGTAACAGAAGCCGATGTACTTGGCGGTAAGATTGGAGTACTCGTTTCGGATGCATCATTGTTATTTGCCATTTTAAACGTAAAAATGAAAACGTTTTATTGTCTGATTTATATGACGTTTATGGAGATATGCTGATCCCATGATACTGTTTTATTTATATCATGTGCTGATCCTGTCAGTAGATAATAACTGTTATTTTGCTTGCTTCTTAATGATGGTGTGTTGTATATCGAGGGTCACCAATGTGGTGGGGTCACTATTCCAGCGGTTGTTACCTGGATAATATTCACACTAATTTTATAATATAATTAATTAACACTAATAACATTTGTTTAATAATTGATTGACATTTTCTGATCATCACTATCTAAACTAAACTCAACTGTTCCAGATCCACCCATGGATCGCCACAGTGTCATGTGTAGATAAGTTAACAACAAAAGTAATACAATTGTTATTTTCGTACTTCCGAGACTAAAGTGACAACTTCACTCCATTATGACAAGGACTGAAGTGTCACTTTTTGTCCCGCCGGGATTAAATTTGGACGAAAATCCCGGAAGGATGAAATTACTATACTTCGTTCACCCAACAGAAATAGTTAAGCCACTCCTACAAAATTTGGGCCAATGTAAGCAGCAACCAGTTTTACAACCACAAAATTATAAAAAGCGGAAAATTTGAAAAATCAAATTGAAATGTCACTTGCTCAAGACTAATTATGGCGCTATCTCTCTGAACATAACTCGTGGCAAAAATAGTAAAACCTGTAAACTGTTAAATACATGTAAATATGCAACATAAAAACACTGTTTATATTGAGAAAAGTACAAAAAAGTATTATTACAGCAGCACAAAGTTTTGAAATTACAAATTACAAGTGCACTTGAATATAAACCAAGGTACATAACAATTTAAATCCTGTATCGCTTCACTCGGATTCGGACTCCGTTGATGTCGAGTCATCTCCCACATGAATTACTAATGGCTCTACTACGATGTCCATTAAAATGTCAATTTGCCACATTTTTTCCTCTTCACTTTGAGCATGGCGAATTGCGTTCTTCCAATTTTCAGCAGTAACATGTTCCACTGCTTGTTGAAATAGTGGATGAAGTTCTTTCATTTTAAATGTGGTGTTGTTTCTGGCCACTTCACCTTTTATTTGCGCCCATATCAGTTCAATTGGATTCAATTCGCAGTGATATGGAGGCAATCGCAGCACGATACGATTGTGTTCCTTTGCAATTTCATCAACTACATATTTTGGTGTAACAGCTGCCCGTTTCACAAGCTGTAGAAGTTCAGCTCTTACCATATCTTCTTCGTAAGGTATCGATTTGCTTGTTAAGCAAGTTTGTATATCAGCTTTTTTCGTACTGGTGTTTGGTATTTTTTCACTTTTCCTGCTATGATATGAAGCGTTGTCCATTATAATCACAGATTGTTCATCAAGATGTGTAACGATTTCCATAAACCACTTTTCAAAAACTTCACTGGTCATTTCTTCGTGATAATCCCCTGTTTTTTTCGATTCAAAACACAGCAAACCTTCCTCGACGAAGCCATCCTCGGACCCTATATGGAGAACAATTTCCTTTGCCCGATGCATCTTTCAATCCAGTTGATAGCCCGTTGATAAATGCCTGTCTTGGAGTGAGAATTGTGGTGTCCTTCCATACTTTGCTTACAGTATGCCCAGCATTCACCCAAGTTTCATCTAGGAAATACAACTTCCTACCTTCTTCACGATATTTTCTAATTTCACGCAAGAACCGACGCTTCCAAGTAATTATTTCGTCCTTTTCCTTAAGAACACTATTGCGTGACCTCTTTTCGAATCTACAATGACAAGTACATAATATACATACACGTAAAGAAAAAAGGTTTACTGACCGAAAACCTATTTCTTTTATTAATTTCCATAAAGTAGTTCGTTTCAAATGGGGTAAGTCTTCGTGTAACACTGCCAAAACTTTACTCAGGGTAGGTGGTTCATTTCTTTCAAAGAAAGAATGAAGCAAACGTCGAAGAATACTTTTAGTTCCGGAATCAATATTGTCTAAAATTGCTCGTGGTCGATAATATTTTTTAGGTGAATGAAGTTCGTGTACCTCTGTATACTCCCGAAGAATCTTGTAGACACTCGGAATGCTTACACCTAAATTACACAATAATAAGTAAAGATGAATGTGCCTAAGATGAAAATTACCTGCTGCTTTAGCCGTAAACTCAACTTTATCCGTTTTAGATACCTCCGGGTTGTCTTCCGAATATGCCTTGAAGATATTTAAAATGCCAGTTTTGTCTTCAACTGAAAAGTGCTTGGCAGAACGTTTTTTCGGTGGAGGGAAAGCAGCACCGGCGACATTCATGTTTGCGTACAACTTTTCTTGATCGCGAATAATATAACCCTAAAAACAGGCATGTAAAAATCGTGTATAAAATTTTATAATTACTCACCTGACTATCTTTAGAATACACCGACGAGTCTTTATAAAGACTATTTTGTGTGAATAAAGGAGATTAATGGCAAATTGACACAAGTAAAGATGTAAAAACGTAAAAACCGGCAGAAACGCAATAGGCAAGATGACAGATTACCCAATTCGGCCAATTCGCTTTACAAGTGTGATTGTGGCTTCAAAAATTACACCAATAACAATGTCGTATTCAAATGTGGCGGTAATTGTTGAGGAGGGGCTTAACTATTTCTGTTGGGTGAACGAAGTATAACAAGGCAATTTCAGTAGGTTGTTCCACATTTTGTATGCGGCACTACTTCTTAAACGCATCGTACTGCTGCTCTTAGAGTTTTTTGGATTTCGCTGGTATCACTTCTTTACCTAGTTTGGCTGCTTTTTATCAATATCAAATACATCTTTGTCACCCACCACCAAAATTATGACACTAGCAATGACAATTTCCAAATTATTTTTGTTACCATAGCATAGGGATTATCGTACCAACGCAACGTTCCTATGGTAACTTGTTAAGCAGCGATTTTTTGAAAGAACGCGTTCTCTAACTCCATACATATTAAGTGTTTCAGTTTCGGAAGTACGAAAAATATCGTATATACCTTGCGACTGAAGTAGTGGTCTTAATCCCTCAGGTAAATTATGGCCCTCCCTTCGGTCGGGCCATAAACTTTACCTTCGGGATTAAAAGTACTACTTCAGTCCCGCGGTATATAATATACTATTATAGTGGGTAATTTTAGAATTTAGAGGTTACCTTAGGAAGGGTACAGGTACTTAACCTATGAGGCTTGCCGTCTTGCAGAGAGAGTACATGGACGTTATAAATTGATACACATCCCACGAATTTAAAGTTTCCAAATGTCAGTGTTGTGTTTATCTACGCTGCAACTTAAAATTTGTCAATGTAAAAGGTGTTGCCAACATATTTGTTGTCACTGAATTCTATAGTTTTATTTTTGGTTAATTGCACTTCAACGTTTTTACTGTTTCTTTAAACATTTTGAAGTTGTCCAATATTGGTGTTATTGCTGTATGGACAATAAAGATTATTATTATGGTCGGTGTTTCTTGTGAGAACTCAGGTTTAGTTATTATTATTATTATTATTAAGATATATTACTTCTCAATTTTCCTGTGGTTTTTGATAATTACTTTTTAATTAAATTAAAGCACAGAAATAGAAGGAATAGTATGAAAATATTCTCATATTCAACATACAATTTTTTCACTGCAGCTCTTCGGTACAGTGGCGTTTTGCAGGAAACGTAAATCGGCCTTAAACAAAGCATCAAACGAGACGGCGTTTTTTAAGATCAAAATCTCTTCATTTCCATTTTTAAATATTGGTGTTGCTAATTTAGATACCTACAATAAAATTATACATAATGTGCTGAAATAATTGCGAAAAAGCTGTCATGTGTAAAAAGCTGCGTTTTTTGCCCCATCGTGTTCTTTGTACTAAATTGTACTCAAGGGCAGTTGTAGACCTTAATCAAAGAAGACCGAAAAAGCGCAATTCACCATGTAAAATTTAACTCAACCGAGAAAAATTCCAACTCAATTAATATTGACCCATAACACGCGGGAGTTGACGCGCGAATCAGCACTCGCAGACCACAAGTGAATTAAATTTCTTCCGAAATGTTCATCTCTAAAAAGGTCTCACTAGGAATATTCTACGCAGAAAACTCGGCAACAGTTTGGTTATTAAGCGACAGAGGGAAGTCAATGGCGTCTGTCTGTCTGCCTGTCTGTGAACACGATAACTGGTAAACCCATAGATCGATTCGGTTCAAACATTGCACAGTTGAGCTAATGCCACAGGCAACAGCAGTATTGGAAATGGGTTAGGTCCAATCACCCCCTTGGGCTACACCACCGAGCCGTTTTTCTATACTGCGTTCGCGCTTTCAGATGGGGTATGCGGCCTTTTGGAATAAATGCATCTCTTACTAATTTGCGTCATTTTTCCATAACCCTATCCTTGTTCCTCATTGCAATGATGCCAAACTGACATATGATTGAATTGCAGTATTAAAATGCGACTTAAGGCCAATTGCACCGTCAAAGTTAAACATCCCTTAAAGTTAAATACCATAGCAACGATTGTCTTAATAATCGTTGCTATAAATTTTAAGTTCGACTTAACTTTAAGCAAGGCTTAATTTTGTTGGTGCAACTGGGGTTTAATCTCACGTTTGCTCATAAGTTTGGCAAGCATGTACTGTATGTCCATAAGCACCATACTGCATCTGGAGGATTGCACGCGCTATAGTTCCGCTTTACAACGCAGTTTATTACCTTTTTTTTCACTGCCGCTCTTCCGTGCAGTGGCGTTTTGCAGGAAACGTAAACAAAGCCATCGAGGCGGCGTTTTTTAAAATGCAAAATCTCTTCATTTCCATTTTTAAAAATTGGTGTTCGTAATTTAGATAAAATAAAATTTAATAACGTGGAACAATACAGTCGAAGAAGCTGTCATGTGTAAAGCGCTGCATTTTTTCTGACTTTGTTTTTTGTGCTGAATTGTATTCAAGGACAATAGACGTTAAGGAAAGAAGGTCGACATAGACGCAAAAGAATCCTGAAAGTGCATAAACTCAATGAGGCTAAAAGGTGCCTGAAGAGGAGAAAGGGGCACGGAAAATGTAACGAGAACTTAGGCCAGGTGGGGAGAATAAAGAGACGAACAAAGGAGCGACTAGGAGGCCTTGAAGAATGAGGGAGAAAGCAAGAGAGTGTGACAAAATCGTGAAATAAGGCATGAATAATTAAGGAATGTTTTTTTCCAATCCTAATATATCCATTTACGAACTAATCCACGCGACAAACTTAAGCAATTGACTGTCCAAAACAAAATTCAAAACATCTCTCTTTTATCACGCAGGTATCGCTTGAAAGCTCATGGGACTTCCTCCATTGGCGGCTTAACGCGTTGTTTTTTCCTCCGAAATCTCTGAAAAAGTCGTAGGTTAGGTACTCAGAATATTCTACGCAGTAAAATTCACCTCTACAACTTGGAAATTCGCGCTTAGTAAATTTTCCCTTGGAGTATTCACTCAGAAAATTCATCTACGGAAAATTTACCTTTGACATATTCGGCCCCCACTGGACTTATGCCCTTCAGTCCTCATGTGAGATCGAAGGGACAGCGTTTTTTTATGGCAGATCAGTATTCTATTAGCCAGTTTTGACTCCACCATCAATAAGATCTTTTCAAAGGCTGCCACACTCTCTTTGTCGGTTACACACTTCCGACGTCCCGTTCACCCACAATTCGCGTTTAAAGTTTTGACTCCACCATTATTAAGATCTCGTCGTGGGTTACCATATTCATTTGTCGGTACCCACTTCAGACGTCTCGTTTACTCGGAACTCAACGACGCAAGAAAGAGAGATCGCGGTTCCAGCTTTAGGAAACTTTAAACCGCGTGACAAAATTCGCAGGAGAAGTTAATTTCGCCCCTATGAAAAAATAAAATTCCGTCACGCAGTGTGCGCGTTTACAAGATCTTTCCGACGACACCAATTTGAAAACAATCGGACTAAAACTGTAGAAGAAGATTGGAAAAAACTGAAAAATCTCCAGGGTAGGATAACACGCTACGGGATGGCGCCCAGATGTCGTCAATCCCACATCATGTAGCCCCGTCTCTTAAGTTGCTAATTGCATGGGCCTGTCTTTCTACAAACATTCTTCTATTGGCCCGCATTTGCAGTCAGCCAGCCAACCAGCTGGCCAAAGTCAAATTAGAAGCTACCTTTTTACAAATAAATTTGCAAAAGGAGTGAAAATGGTTTATTCACAAAGTTTCCTTCTTCTTTGCTTTTTAAATTCACTCATGTTTATTTGCACCTTTTGTATTAGAACTGGCCCGCCCGATCCCGTCAATCGACCGCAATACGATTATCATGGAGCGATATAAATAAATGAAGCTACGTTTAGTTTTGGCTATTTATAGACTCCTACGGCTGCAGTGTTCAAATTGCGCCCGCTTAGTAAGAATTGAGACGTGGACAAGTGTTCTACCCTGGCTCATTCTGTATATCATAATATTTACAATACAGTGTCGGTGTCGACTCGCAAATTTCAGACAAGCACATTCGTTAGATCAATTTTTGGGAAGCGAATATCTACCAAAAAATATTCCAGGGGTTAACTTATCTGGAGTCAAGTTTTCCTACAAGCTCATATTCTGAAGTGAGAGAATTTTCTGAGGTACCTACATTTAGGGGTATTTTTTGAAATTTTTGAAAAAGTGTTTTCGAGGTGAGGATTTTGTCTTGGTTGAATTTTCCGGTGAATATTTCAATGGCCAATTTTTCAGAACTAACATTTCATGGAAAATGCTCTCGGAGTCAGTTTACTTTGTGTCGATCGATTAGAATCGATTATTCGGAGGGTGAAATTTTGGCGAGGCGAGTTTGCTAAGAAGCGAATATTTAAGGGTACGATTTTGGTGTAGCATTCCAATACCGAACTTTTAGGGATGATTAACCCATATGGTGAACACTCTGGATATGATTTTCCCGAGGGTTACAGGGAAATCTTCGGAGGGGACTCTTCCAAGTAAATATTCGTGGTTGGGTCATCTTAAATGTACCTATATAACACTAATATTTTAGGGTGAACACACTGGGAATAAATTGAGTTAAGGATCAGTTTTTTTTTAAAATAAAGGGACGAATATTTCAATGCGAATACTGCAGGTGCAGATTAACCTACAGGCTACAGTTTAAGGGGTCGAATATTTCGGCGGGGAATACTACGACAGCGAATGGGGGTGAATTTTATTAGGAGCGAATATTCTGAAATCGTGAAGGTGATTATTTCGGCGACGAATTTCCCATAACGATTACTCAAGGACTAATATTGTAAGAAAGACGCAAGATTTTCTTATAAACAAATATTCTGAGGGGAAATTTCAGAGACTACTTGATCATGGCGTAACATTTTTTTATTCGATTTTATTCGAACGATATAGTTAAAAAATTAGACGCGTATGGATATATTTAATGAAAAACATAGCTAATAGCTCCGTAAAGTCCATCCGTCCGTCTAAGGGTTTGAGATCTCAGCACTGGGACATGTTCCACATCCGCGGTTTTTTTAAGATAGTAGATTTGTACTTCTTTGGTTTCTAGGATGGAACAACTCTTTATTGGATCCTTTGCCTTTGAATTGGTTCGGATTTCAAGTTTATTCACACCGCGCGATATACATACTGGTTACCTTGGGCTCAT